ACTTCTTTTCAAGCCTTGTATTACAATCAACATATTAAGAAGAAAGAAATTGCTACATCTTATTAAAATAGATAATAATGAAAATTAAAATAAAAGAAGTATTAGATTTAAGGTGATGCTAAAGTAAATTAGAATATCTTATACATTGGAATAGATATGATATTAGTGCATGCATGTTATAATTATGTGAGAATCTTTTGAATACATTAATTTTTTTTATTTTTCATTTACAAAATCTATTAAAATTAAGAATAAATAATCACAACGAAATCATTTAAATTAAAAAATATATAAATTTAAGAATCAACTTATAAAACATCTTTGCTATATGAAGAGTTAATAGTTAAAAGATTTATTTTAAAATTTTAATTTAAAAAATAATCAAATAAAGCACTTGAGTTGATTCAAAACTCAAGACATAAAATTAAATTGAAAATTTTCAAGAGAGACATGTCCTCCTTCAAATAGATAAAAATATATGATGTAAATGGTACAAAATCTTAGAGGTGCCTCTTAATGCTTAGTAATACTATTAGAGTTGATTATTACACTTAATAGTATTTATAGCATATTGTATAAAGGTATTTATGAAGGCCTATAAAATAATCAGATAATAGGGTAATCTTCTTGCTTTGGTATGAAATAATATCAATGGCTCAAAAGACATATCAACCATCTTGTATTAAATATAGATAAAATTAAAATTTTAATATCATTTGATAAATCTTTGACTTTAATAATTTAAACAAAAACTTGATTATTCTTATTTAAAAATATGTCTAATGATAATAATAATAATAATAATGTAATAGATTTCTATATTATATAAATAAATAGAAATTTATAGAATATATTAGGTAGATAATATGTTCATTAAAAAGCTTTAAGGAAATTTCTTAAATATAAATTAAATCTTTAAATTTGTAGAATTCTGCCATATATATAATTTAACTTTTTCTAGAAGTTTTTTACTTTTAAGAAGTTGTATTTAAAGAAATATAAAACTTGATACTTAGGCCATAAGTCTTGTAGTCCTTATAAAGCTACTATATGGACTTTTTGGCAGCTAGTAGTGATGGAGGTAAGAGTGAAGCCATCTTTACTCTTGGCAATACCTTTCTTGCATTCTAGTCTTTATAAAAAAAAATTCTAATTTCTTTATATTTGAAAATATTTATTTTATTTTTTTCTATCTTATCTATATTTATTTTCTCCTAGTTTATTTTCTTCTTTAATATTATTTGAATATATAGTCTTTTATTTTTTAAAATTAAAACCTATTATATTAATCTCTTTCTACATCAACATGTATTAAAACTTACTACACATTTGTTTTATGTGTCTTTGTTACAAAATATTTAAAAGTTTACATGCTTCTAATTAGTTTTAAGTATTTTTTATAAAAATATAAAAATATCTCATTATTATTATTATTATTATTATTTTGTATGCAATTTGATAGAGATGTAAACACTTCTTTTTATTTTTATAAAGTAATTTTAAGAACCAAAATCATCAACTATTACAAATGTCTATATTAATTTTAATTTTTTAATTTTATTCTTTGTATCATAGTATATCTTTTTATTACAAACACTTCTCATTTTTCCTTCAAATTAAGCATTAATAAATTGCATTCTTACATACCAATGTGTTCAATTAAAAATATTATCTTATTGGATTTGTTACTCAAGTTTTTGGGGTAATAAGCAAGCACAAGACCAAACTCTGTAAAATGTCTAGAACTATTAGCATGGACACTACTTTAGTAATGAATTTTGTTTATTGCGCATACTTCAAAAATATATGGCCTTTGACCCAATGCTATTCTACCTCAAGTTTGATTGTATTAACTACCATCATATTCTCTACACTAATTCAAGACTGCCTAATATAGTGACTATCCAAGCTTTAAGTAGTCTACATTTCTGGCTTATACTCAAGTTGTGCTTTTGTTTTTTTATAGCAGCACTGTGAGTATTTCTCTTATTTATTCCCGGCCATTGTTCTCAAATCTTAACCTGACTTTGTGCCATTGGACATGTTTGTTCTAGCAAATTACAAAAAAAAAAAAATTACCTTAGACTAACATTCATGGTTACTTTCTTTGTAACTAAATAAAAAATCATTTTCATAGGTGTATATGTATGTATATATATATATATATATATATTCTTTAAATTCTTTGATAAGTACAATAAAATAAGACTCAAGTCAACATCACTCTATTTAGCAAAAAGATTGTGGTTGCTCTAAAATTTTACAACAAAGTAAATAATTATATATCTAAAAGAATATTAAGAAATGTATAGCTATAGAATACTGATATCACGCAACAATGATGAAAGATCTTTAATTTTCTGAAAATGAGACTTATATTTAAGATTTTATACATTTTCTTTCTTAGATCTAATTATATATGTATCTTTATTAAAATATTGATGCAATAAAAGCAAATTGACAAGTATTGCAGTAAGTTATTTCTTTGTTTACAAAACAAAGATAGATGGAAGAAGTTATAGTCTAATAAATTCTTATTTTCTTCCAATTTTGTATCATACATAAAAACTAATCAATTACATACCCACAAGCACGACATGCACGTGCAAATCTTAAAACACTTACATTGATTTTGACTCTTGTTTGGTGGAATCTAAGTTGTACTAAAAATCAGGGTTTAGATGGAATGAAGGTGCGGTACAAGGTGCGAATGAGGATTCTTCCATCACCATAACAATTTGAAGCAGATTGCGGAGTTTAGAGAGAAAGTTCATGAACTTTTCCTTGCGTTTCATCAACTGAATCTACGTATACAGCACAAGAGAATGTGCCGTGCCTGACGTTTGAGAATGCGGCAATGGCGACAAGGTGAAGGCTCGGCGAAAACGGAACCCATTGTAGTAGTGAAGCCTTGGAAACATGAGCCTTTTGCTAAGATGAGCCAGTCGAAGAGAATGAGCTTGCTGAATATGGTTGGGTGGGACTGCAGGTTCAGCTTAGCAAGAGTACCATCGTGAAAATAGTCGAGGTTTTTGTGCTGTTTTTTGTGGAACTTGCATCACTGCAGGCATCACCATTTGACGTTAGCTGAGACTATTTAGAGGTTGTGACGTGGGTTTTAATGCTTAAGAGAACGTTGTGATAGTCATGGCGTGTGGGTAGAATCAATTGCATCAGGGCTGAGCTCGATGAGTTGGAGGGACGATCGATCATGTGCAAGTTTTTGTATGGTCGGTCTTGTTTGTGCCTTCAAATTTGTGTTAAAGAAACACCGCCTCTAAGCCCTCGATCGTGGTTTTAGCGTCCTGGACCGCCGATGACCCCGAACTATCCCATGTATCTGCCGTCAAGCCTGTACCTGAAGACTCACTTCCCTCAGTGATTAAGCTAAACCCTAACCCTACACATGCGTCTACAAACCCTCTTGCTACATCTTAACCTACACGTCTGAATGAGGTACCTTCATTTCCACAAACTATGTCGGGAGCTTCAACTAGTTTATTCATGAGCCCATTCATTAAAACTCCCATGTTACGAATTCGTTCTTCACCACAGAATAACCCTTTACCTGCTGAATATGCTCTGCATGTGAAAACAGCTCTCAAATCTCTCGCAAATTTTGAACATTAGATGGCCATCACATCGACTATCCAGTTACAACAGTACAATTTTCTCAAAGTCTGTCTTGTGCCATAGTATGCAGGATCAAAGAAGAAAGAACGGCATACAGTGAGAATTGAAACCATCACCCTATGGATTCAACGTGTGACTTGCAGGGTGAAACCTGCCACGGATTTTTATGCAGCATGCAAGTTGCATGCATCATGTGAGTCAGACTTTCGAATCAAAACTGCGCAAGTTGATGAATCTGAACAAGCTTGCCGCTTCCACCTCATGAGACAGAAGATTCGTTTCACAGAAGTGTGGATGCAAAAGGAGCTGACGTTCCCCAACGGTGGAGATATAATTGAACATTCCCAAGTCGCGCATGGAGATCTAGGCCCTTCTTTAACATCGAAAGACGATGTTCAGTAAACTGGCACTGTCTCTGATCCCCGAGTTTTGAAGTTCGGATTTGGGTACTGATCACGGATCACGCAATCAGTTCGAAGCACAGCTGAAGAGGAACAGGAGCTGTCCATTTCTGGTGGATGGACATGGAGGTTGACACCAACTGCATGACCTGGGGATATCCACAGAGTCGTCTGATCGACAGCGACCAGGTTGAGAATTTCAAAGCCGGGGTGCACTTTTTCCCCGCAAACGGACTACTTCTCCACGAGAATGATCGATCTGGGTCACCGTCCAAGGTCACCGCATACGGAGCCATTGGGTACCCTCCACAACTTCTTCATGAGTGAGGAAGGTACGTAACTTAAACGAGAATGTCCTGGCCGCACCCATACACACATGCATTACACAATTCTTATTTTTAATCACACCTCTGTGAGACGCACCAAACTGTGGAGCAGGGCTGTGGACGAGCGCGACCAGTCGTACGCCCAGGCAATTGACCGGCGCTTCGCTGTGGTCCATGACATCGCCATGTACACCGACTTTGTTCACATCTGGGGAGGAGCTCAGCCTGGCAATGTGGCTCAGTCACGCAAAGAGACCATTCATCTTTTCACCACTGGATGAAGCTTAGATCTGCATTACTTTTGTCAGTTTCCATTTTCATGAAGTCATTTTGTCCCTGTGAGCTCGTTATTCTGGGGTTCGAGGAGCTGTTTTTCGCTTAGCTTTGTTTTATTTTATTATTCTTTTGTGATCTTGGGCATCGTGTAGTAGATCCATAGACTGGTGAGACAGTTGGCGCATCTCACCGAGATTCTGCGTCTAGAAGCAGTTGGCGTTTTACTTGACTGACTCTTACTGCACCGAAATGGGTGGGGGGGCTTGATGGTGATACTCCAGGGTGCAGGGGGCAGCCCCTCCTGTCCACATTCTCTGCATGCAGCAAAACCTCTCCGCGCAAGCTCCCCTCGAATTTTGTAATAACGACGTCTCTGAGCTGTTCTGTTATTCTGTTTCTTTTCTTTTCTCGTTGTTTCTGTATTTTTTTTCCTTTAACCTGTTTGTTTCCTTTCTATGTTTCCTTCGAGACCGCTCTTAGAATATTCGTAGACAACCCTCAAATACGCCCTTCCACCTCCAAATTAGTTCCCCCTGCGATGCTTCATTCCCGTGCACCGCATTCCCCTCGATCGATGGATTCTCCATGCTGCGATATTGATTGCATGAGATTGGCAAACTGGGTGCCACCCTATTTCATCCATCTCGCTTCAAGTTGCTGTAAAAAACTGCTGGTGAACTTTTCGTCGTCGTCGCCATTGTCTTGTTTCTTCTTTTGTATTCGTGTTTTCTCTCTTTCATTCATTCTTGCAGCGTGGTTTTTTTTATAGTTTGTTGATAATATTCTTATTCTTATTGTTTGTTTTCCTGGGGCTCAGATTCTCCGGGAGACAGCGATTGCGGAGATGCGGGTCTGAACGAGCGACGTGCATTGAATCCAACACCGAAGGTGATAGATAAGGATGAAGTCACTAGCCCAGGGGGAATGTTCTCTATCATTAGGATTTTCCTTTTACGGGTTCTTATTAGCGTTTTGTTTTAGGGTTTTGTTTTAGGGTTTTCGAAAATGGAGTTTTGAGGGCTCTTTTTTCTTCTTCTTTTTGAACAGGAAAAGGAATTGGGTATTCCTTGATGTTGTCTAGTTTCTTAAGTCTTTATAACTCACAACTTCGAAATTTTAGTGGGATACACTTTGAAAGTGCAAGGCATTGGTGGATGTCTTGCACTTTCAAAGTAATATGAGTTTAATCAAATCCCATTCTATCTTGTTCTTGCAACATATGGAATACAGAAAAACAATATACAATGAGAAAAATCAATGATTTCCAAAATATATCTGAAAATAATTATTTATTCATAAATATATGTTAAATTTAAAAAACAAGAATTATGTGGGTTTTAGATAATGTATTGAGGTACAATTTTTGAGGTTTTGGACTGCAATGTTATTTTTATAATAATATTGTTTAAAACTAGATTTTAATTTTTTTTCAATAGTGTTTAGTACCTTTTAATTCTTTTATTGATGAAATTATGTTTAAAAGATTTTTTATATTAACATTATATATTTACATTTTGAAACATATCCTATATAGCTTTCATCTATTAAATTTTTTTATTGTGTGTGTCTTTGCACAAATTATAAATTTTAAAGTTTATGAAAATAAAATTATAGATTATATGAATTAAAGTAGAGATTATGTATGATAAAACTATGTCTTTAACATTCTCTATTCTTTCCCACTCTAATTTCATAACATGTTTTTTTTAAATAAAAATATAAAATAACATTTTTTCATGTTTTGTATAACAATTACATCAAACAATTGGTTTAATTACAAGCATTTGTTTAGTATGTGGATTTATTTATTTATTTATTTATTTTTCAAATTATAACTATTTTTAAAAAAAAGTAAAAAAAAATTGAAAGAAAAAAAAAGAAAAAAATTATAACATAAAATTATAATTTAAATTCTGTATAAAAAAATTAAGTAGAATTTTTATATATGTAGAAATTTTTACTTTGCTTTTTGAATAAAAATATTCATGTTTAACAGAAATGTAAAATCATAGATTGTATAATTTAGTAACATAATTGCATTTGATTGCATTATAATTATGTTATATAATTTTCATGAACTTGGGTATAATTCCAAATAAGTTATTAGTATATTATTTTTTATTTTGGATCAAAGATTAACATTGATACGTGGCATTTCAAATGGACATCTAAAGCAAGTATTATAAAAAATGGTTATTTAAAATCATTGTTCCAAATTTAAAATGTTCATTCAAGTTAAGTATTTGAGCAAGTTTTTTTTAAAAGTAAATATCATGTCTATTTTATTCTTGTAAATATTTGTCCAAGTCTAATGAGCCTAAAATAAGATGCAATGTCCTAAAATAATATAGCTTGGTTAAATAAAGTAATCTATGGACCGGCCCAAAGCCAATATCTATACTTGAATTTAAACAATAGATTTTATTTATTTTTTTTACTTTTAAAAAGCAACTCAAGGATGTCCATGAGCCTCTTCACATTATGTCTACCACTTTAAATGAAGAAATATTTATTAGAAGATAATTCTACCATTTGTAAATGATAATCTATTAATAATTAATCATTTTTGAACACAAGAATTTTATGCAAAGTAAATTGATTCAATACTTCATTGGTTTTTTATAATCCAACATTCACTCTGCTACTAAAAATTTATAAATGTCTATAATATGAATTGTGATAGATAAAAATTTAATGTAATTTCTGTATATTCTTCCTTTACAAAACATACCCAATGTTGAGTTCTTCACAAAAAATCAAGCCTACTATAGAATTGGTGCAAAACAATTGCAAACCACAACATTGTATGTATTAACCCTTATCCTAAGACTTTGAACATGTGCAACTTTCGCTCGATTAGGGCCGAGGCAATGGTTCACCAGGAGAAATTCATCGAAATTGAGTTTGTTGTCGCACCGAGCTTGCAACGATGCGCCGAAATTGGTGCATGATTCAGCTCTGAAGATTTAAGGTTCAATTCAAGCTGCAACGGAGCCTGCAAAAAGGCTCTGCACGCGCTTTTCGGAATCATGAACAATGATTTAGAATCTCTGCGTCGGTTGCATGGTTTTGAGAATGCCACTGAGCCTGTGTGTTTTAATTGTTATTAAGCTGTTCATTTTTAATGTCAGCTTAATTAGTGTAAGGGGAGAATTCCACGATTTCATGGCTATGACGAACAGCGGCATCAAGCAACCGGGAAGCGGAACTCCTCGTGGACTCCCTTTAAAAACACTGAAGCATCAAATCTCACCGCATTTTCATTCGCTCCGGAAGATTGTCTGGAGATCTTCATCCCATTTTTGAACAGCCTTAAAATCGCAATGGCTTTCTCCAGACTGAACTCAGCGGCCGGAATTTAGCAAACCCAGCCATGTCGCGTGCTCCCGCTACATCAAACCCTACAACTACAATATTCCCCCGCTCGTGAATAGGCGACGCTCGTACTCGCACCCCGAAAATTGTCCTCTCCTCGGCAAAATTTGAAAAATATGTGAGGGAGGGTTGAAGTTGGCAAGCGTTGGGCAAAAATCTCCCACAATTCATCGTGTCGGAGCCATTTTCAGTTGGGGGTGGGGGGAGGGAAGGACCAATGCCTTCGGCCCTCCGGCGCTGCGCTTCGGGAACGCCCGACACAACCCGCGTTTCTTTTATTGTGAGGGGTGGCATCGGGTTCTACTTCGCCCACTTTTGGTGATGGCCACGGCAACCAAGCGCCAAAGCTGGATATTTCATGAAATTCCGATCCCTCAGTGTCCCGAATTCGCGAGCTCCATCGTTGGTTGCTTTCGTTTTTCGGTTTCCTTCGCATGCGTTAAGTTTAGCCTGCGTCGAATCCAACCCCGTGTTCCACCCCACGGTGCCGAATCCCGCACTCCTCCTCATGCATTTCCTCTTCCTCTTCCTCGCACTCTCTTCCGGTTTGCTTTGCTTTGCAATGTTTCTCCGTTTCTTTTTCTTTCTGTTGTGTCCTATTTGTTTGCCTGGTTTTTCTTTCATCTTTCTCTCCTCTTTCTCCATTTTCTCCCTGTGGTCTAATGGGCGCTGTCACTTGTCTTTACAAACTTCCAGTGATGTTAACTTTATTATTGTTATTGTTATCATGTTCTCTCTGTTCTGTTCTGTTCACTTGGAGTTTATTTCATGTTTGGATTCTTGAGTACACTATAACCTAACATGTTTCATGCCATATTCTTGGAAAAAGTGTATAAATATTGTGTGAAATTCTGAAAATGAGGCATGAAAAAATCTGTAAGAATTTTATGGAAAGTGTAAAAAGTAGTGCATACCTCATTTGTTTAACTTGAAGAAAACAAGTAGTACATAATGATGATGATGATAGTAATAATAATAATAATAATAATATCTAAAATAATAATACAGGGAGTCAAGGATGTGATTCTAAATAGATTTATCAACAAATAATTAATACATATTTACACAAGTAAAAAAAAGACTCAAGAGATTAAAAAAAGAAATAAGTTTTTAGCATAAGAAATTATAATTACTATTTGCGACTATTGTAATCATTAAAATCACTATTTGTGACTAAAAATATATTATAAGTCTCAATACATATTGGAGTATAAAAGAAGTGATGACAAAAATGAGAATAGTCTCAAATTTTGCCTCTATATATATTTAATAATAAGAGAGTCATATTAATTTATTTTTTAAAATCACAAAGCTTACAATAAAAGTATCTAAGTTATAGGATGATTTTAAAGAATATTTTCATATCTAAAATAATTATTAAAGAAGTTTATTTCACTACATGATACATTCAAGCATACTTGTTGATTTACTATTGTATGTAGGATATTTCTAATACCACCACAATTTTTCCCATTTCCATCACAATCTACGACCTCTTTAATATATATATATATATATATATATATATATAAACATTATAATCTCTTATAAGTTATCTCCTAGTATATTATAATCTTCAATAAGTTTTAAAAAATTGATGAATTAACCTAATTATACTATAATTAAGTTATAATTCTTATAAGTTGTAATTCTTATAAGTTATCAATTATGGCCAAGGAAGGAAAAAAAAAAAGATTATAACTTTGTGTAGGGTGTAAATAATAAAAAATCTAGCTTAGGCAAGAATCCAACATGCTTTCTAGAGGGTTTTTGCATATAATTTTTATTGAATGTCACAAAGGGTCTTATGGGTAGCATATTCATCTACATCTCCAACATCCAATATGGAGATAACTACAAAAAGGCTTTACAACTTCTCCATTCTGCATGTGAACGATGTTGATATATAATCTTCCTTGAGAGTATTGTCAATACCTTCACTTCCCTTTGTTTGTTGATAACAAATAAGCTCAAAAATTTTATAATCATCTAGCTTGATATGCATATAATTTTTTTCAATAAGATTGAATAAGTTTTTAATTGCTATTAGATTCTGTAATGGAAGACTTCAAATTATGTCTATCAACTCTTCTTTGATTGTTTCTTTAATGTCAATTTTTGTAACTTCAAGTCCATGTTTAAACAATCTAATATGCTAGAAATAATTTTGTATTATTATTGAAGATATTTTTGTCCAAGCCGCAAGTGACCATTGCATTGTTATCAATCAATCAATCTTGTATAAATTGATCTCATTTTTTTCATTTTAGTTAAGTGGATTTTGTGAATAGAATTGCTAATAGTACTGCTTAAATACCAAAATGATTCCAACATCTATTGGTTGGATCTTCAAAGTTATATTTGGAAGAAGCGCACAAATATCTATGTTACAAAAAATTTGGTTGTTTGTAATGTATAATGGTGAATTATCTATAAAGAGTAGGATTTATTAACATGCTCTTTTCATCTCTTTGTTAAAAATTTTAAATTATTCTTGGAAAGAAATTCCAATCATCAATGCTTTCTTATAGGATTAATAATAAAAATTTAATTATTTCCTTGTACAATGTCAACATGTTTTGGAGGTTCTAGTCATTAGTCTTATTTCAAGACTTTCTAATCTTTTTATTTTTGGCAATAGCCATCCTAGTTTAATATTATATCATCTTTGAGAGGCTTTCTAGTTCTTTTCAGTGACACAAGAA